CCGGATATCAGCATCTTCGTGAGAGGCGAGTCCGCATATCCACACGAGGCAATTTATCTGTTCTGGGTTAACGTCGTTGAATTCGGCCATCGCGTGTCGCTGGTTGACAAGTCCAGTATAGTCGCGAGGATTTTCACCGTTGCGTTGAGTCTTCAGATATGCGTAGCGGCGCGAGAAAACCGACGTGTTGTGTCCGAAAAGTTCCTTCAGCGTTGCTACGGTATCTGACAGCGATAGTTCACAAGCTCTTTTTGGTAGAATGTAGCTTGTGAAGCGAGCGTATAAGATGGCGTCGAGCTTGGAAACGATTAGTCGAGCTTTTGCAGCTTCATCCAAGGCAGCACCGTCCTTGGATATGACGTCTTCGGAGCGATTGTACCAGACCGCGAAGGTACAACCATTGTCGGGATCGTATACGAACGCAGGTAGACGAGCTGATAGCGAGTTCATCACGAACTCGGCTGCGTTGGCTGGAGACGCTGGAGCGGTCGAACGTGAGCCAGACACCATTCGTTCCATGTGGTTGACGAGTTCCGCGAACATCTTCTGCTGTTCGGTGAATATCTGCATCCGCATCTCCTGCTGCATCCTGGCTTGGGCATCTAAGATCCTGCAGGCTTTTCACATCCATTTTAATGTGTGACTAACCTCGCCGTCGGCTCGATTACTGCTACACTGGATGTTGTCGTTGTCTGCGTTGAAGTCCACTGGTCGCCAATTGTTGTAGGGGCCGCCAGTTGCTGTAGATAAGCTTCTTGTAGACAGTCGAAGAACACAGTAGATATGTAGGTTTATTGGAAGCAGCACCGGACACGAACGTATGACCAAGTAGAATGAAAAAGTCATAAAAACCTCTGGTATTATTCAAACAGAGCTACGTACAATGCGCGGGTTTGCGAAGTCTATGATAACATGTACAATTGATGAAGCTCAATAACACCCTACAACAATACCGAAGGAGACCATCCGTCCCAGGAAGCCCAGGAAGATGAAATCGGCGCAGTATTGTGTCCATCGATGGCAACGGGTCGGATCAACAAGTTCCTCATGGTTGCAGTCTTTGAAAAGTTGATTCGAGTCCAACGGTTTGGCTTTTCTCGTATAACTCTTTTAACATTGTTTTCAACTGTTATGTGCTACAGTAACTATATCGTCTGCATATCCAAGGCAACTCAGATATTTTCCACTTATGTTGATCCCTTCCTTGCGCCAGTTAATATTTCGAAATACCGTTTTCAGGCAGCAGCCAAAAGCGCAGGTAAAACAGGGCCTCCCTGACTGTGGCCTCCTTGTATTTTGATGGGCCTCGTGTAGTCACACATTTTAATATTCACTTTGGCAGATTTGTAGATGTTCGAGAGAAGAACTCGTGATTATTCTAGAGTGAAACCCTTGGCAGAACAGCGATTTCAAAGAGATTCATGTTGCACAGAATCAAATGCTTTGAAATAGTCGATGAACACACAGTATAGAGGACTGTTGTTGTGAGGGTGTGAATGACCGTGCGAGGGTGAAGAATGAAGAAAAATCAGGGGACAGACATGATAGAGGGAGAGTATGCATATAAGAGTCTATCCTCTCGAATAAACCGTTCCATCCTCAGTGTTTGTCCTGGCATCGTCACTGGTGACCAGGACGAACCAAAGAAGAAGAATTTGAAGGAAAATAAGAGTCCGAAAAAGATTGACAACGCAATGAAGGCCGAAGACATAGGAGACAACACCGAGAAACCCATAGCGTTGGACCCCAGGGTAGAAATATACCGAGGTCGATCCCCGAGACCTTATGTTCCCATAACATTATGGAGGACTTGGTGGAAGCTCTTCTACAAGTTCCTCGTATTGAGGGAGATTACAGAAGAGAAGAACCAGCGTTTCATTTCCGTGCAAGAGGTGGGCAAACCTAATTATGAGTTGCTTGTGTCAGTCACTTCTGCAGGGTCGCGAGTTGTCGGATGTGGAACTCAAGCATTTGCGAGAGGCCATGGAACGCCATCATCAGCCGAAGAAGCGATATTAGCAGAGCGTTTTGGCCTTATGTCGAAGGTTCAGAAGCCGGGACAAGCTCTAAGGAGAACTAGGCGGAGCTGCAGAAGGAAGCAAACAAGTTGCAGCTTTGAGGAAATCAGGAATCACAGTGATGTAGTTATCACAATGGTTTTCATGGAGGACTGCTCCCAGTGGAGGCGAGGAAGCGGTTGTCGGAAAAGGAGGATTTGACTCCGAAGGAGACGTTGGAACGAGCGTCAAACGAGTAGGAGAAAATGCCACTCACTTGAGAGAAGGACCATAGGCCACAGGAGTAGCCCAGGTGAGAATGCGTAACTGGCAACCAGCTCCGCGAGCACAAATGAACGAGCAAAAGCGGAAACTGAGCAAGAGCCCAGCTCGGAAGGAGTTTTAGTGCAGGGTATGGGAGGCGTCAGGCGGCACCGGTTACGAGGGTTTTAGGAAGCAAACCGCATACTGTAAAGTATGTGAGGGAAGAGGGCACCTAGCGGCGACATGTTGGAAGGGCGTTAGAGTAAGCCGTAAAGTCTCCCGCTAGGTGCACTAGAGTGAGGAGCCCGCTGGTAAAAAGGAGAGTGAATATGGTTGTAAAGTCACGCTTAAACTGCTGTTGTAGAGCTGACAAGAATCCTGTGTGTTGATTCCTGTCCAATCGGAGCAGTGATGGCAGATCGCTCTCTCGGTGTTGGAGAAAGGGCATGCGGCAGAATACGGATGGTGGAAGCTCCTAGCACAAGCGCTACCAGTGAAAATGGGCAACATTTCGATAAGAGAATGATAGCTAGGGATACGTCTGTCTGGGGCGAAATAGATCGGTTGGCAGGTGAGCCACCGCAAATGTTAGTTAAGGAGGAGAATGGGAAAAGGATTCCATTCAAATTGGATACCGGCGCAACTCTATCCATTATTGATGGGAAGACTTATCACAAGCTAGGCCGACCGCAGTTTCAGAACGCGGAGGTAGCGGCGACGGCTTGCAACTCAAGTTTGCCGGAAAAGAGGCGATAATAGATGTACATGTCTTTAGGGAAGCGATTCACTTCTCGTGTGGGAGAGACATGATAAGAAAGTGATAGGCAGGTTGACTGTGGACCATACTACATGTGAGATGATTCCCAGCGTCGTAAAGATGTCTGAAGTAGCAATTAAAAAGGAGCTGGTGCGTAGACTGAGTAACAATGATATGTTATTCCAGGAGGATTCGGGCAAGGGCACAACTTCACAAGCCGAGCTCAAATTTAGAAAAGAGGCAGTTGTGCCCAAGTTTTTCAGACCCAGACCAGTTCCTATCGCGTTGGTGCCTAAAGTCGAAGCTTAGTTGGAAGAAACGGTACGGAATGGTATCATAAAAAGGGTAAAGCATAGTAAGTGGGCCACGCCGCTGTCAGTTGTGCCCAAACCAGGCAGGGAAATAAGACTTTGTGGCGATTGTAAGGTCACAGTGAAGCCGCAAATAGATATAAATCCGTACCCATTGCCTAAGCTAGACAAGTTGTTTCATATGTTGCACGGCGGCAAGAGATTATCAAAAGTTGATCTCTCAGATGCGTATAGGCAGGTAGAGCTGGAGGAAAGCCCAAGGAAGTACACTACCATCAACGCGCATAAGGGACTATTTCAGTATCGCGGATTCCATTTGGAATCGCGTCCACACCAGTAATATCCCAGCGGATAATGGAGGAAACGCAGGCGACAATAGAGGGAGTACTGATTTATCTGGACGACATTAACGAGTCCAGATAACAAGACGCACTTGGGAAGACTTGAAAAAGTCCTGAACAGGCAAATGATGCCGGTTTACATTTCAAAGAGAGAAGTGCGAGTTCTTCAAAGAGGAGATGGAGTTCTTAGGCCATTTGAAACCGGCATTATAGTCGAATTCTTGGGAACAAGCACATGTGAGGTATACCACGGCATAGGGGTGAGAAAAACCCGTACTGACTAGATGAAGGAAAGGGTTCTGCATGGGAATTGGCAGATGAGGAGCTTTTGAGAAGAATGGAAAAGAGGGCCTTTAAAAGGAACAGTGAGCTCACCGAAGGCCGTTACCGCTGCGTTAAAGGGAAAGCGACAAGAAACTGCTAGAATGATTGAGTTTCGGGAAAGTGGAAAGCGCGGTAAGACTAGTTGGATAGGTCTATCGGAAAGGGAAGATGTAAACAAAAACAGTATGGCGTGAGCCCTATAAAAGAGGCTGAAAGGGTTAGGTGACTATGTTATGATCTCATTGCCGGGACAGCAACAGCTGCAGCAGCCCGGCGGTGGTCATGGGGGGGGGGCAGTGGGCCCACAGGCGAGTCCGTAGGTGCTGGGCCCCGCCGGGGAGGCAGGCAGGATCGCCGGCCACAGGAGACCGATCGCCCACACTGTGATCGGCATTGCGAGAGATTCGGAAGGATTTGCAGAAGATGGAAGGCGAAGAACATTTGAGAAACCGTTCGGGGTCTGGTGGCAGCCTTAGCCGGAGACGAAGATCAAGAAGCCACAGCCGATCATCAGCTTGAGAGAACCCCAGTGAGAGTAGTGTTTGATAATAAATACGTTTGAAATAGTGTTGATGTCAAGAAACACAGATGGGTGAAGAGCAGGTAAACATAGGGTTGAATCTCCTTACCCGGAGAAGCAACGCTCAGTACATTGAGTGATCGTAGGGTCACCAGGGAGGTGTGAGGATGTGATTGAACGTGCGAGGGTGAACAATGATGAAGGATCAGAGGACAGCCATGATAGAGGAAGAGTGTGTATATAAGGATGCTACCTCTCATTCCATCCTCAGTGTTTGCCCTGGCATCGTCACTGTTGTATTCGTTGCTTTTCTTCATGAGCTGACATATAACGTGAAGTGGTCAAGATGGAGCAATTTTTACAAAAGCCGGCTTGTTTGACGAGTCGTTCTCCAACGAGGTTCTCATTCGCTGCTCAATGGTTGAGATAAATAGTTTGTGAATCGTCGTAAATGGTGCGGTCGGGCTGATATTTCGAAAGTCAAGAGGGTCTCCTTTCTTGAACAGAAACGATATTGATGAGTCGGGTGACTATCAGGTGACTCCTCTTTGACGAGAAGGTCTTTGAAGAGTTTCGTGAATGGAATGTGGAATGCCGCCATCAACATTTCAACGTCGCGTTATCAGCTCCTGGTTTTTTCCTAACCTCGTCAATTTGCGACTTCTCTAGAGCATGTCCGACTTCTTTAGGCAAATCGGTGGCACCTCATCAGAGTTCTCCATTATCGGGAAAGAGGGGACGGCCTTTGTGGAAAAACAACTCACTGTAGAATTCTTGAACGATGGATGCAGCAGCAGGCGACGTTGCTGCGGGGACCCATCATTTCGTTTTAGTGGTGCTAATGTCGTTCTGGCAATTTGTTTCTCGTGTAACACCCGATGAAACTGGGTCCTCGAGAGACAGCATTTGTACACGCAAAAGGTGTTTTTGTTCAAGATCAGGCTTTAACGAAAACGTAACAGCTTGTTGATCATGGAAAATTCTACTGTATTTCTTGTCCAAAGTTGATGTAATAGGAGGTGTCGTTTCTCGAATTGCTTCCTTGTTGTTGTTAAAGTTGTTTCAGCGTTGTGGAGAAAACCGTTGCATCAACTTTTGATGTGCTCTTATCTTCCCTGGAACGACGATGTTTGTTTTCTTGACGGATCTTAGGCAGAACAAGGGCGAATCAATCGATTATATCAACATATTGGAGTGTGGTACGGTCATTCGATGAAATAAAATCAATAGCATTCATAGTCTGCACATTGTGCGATATCCACGGCGATTTTCTGGAGTTTCTCTTTCTGAACTTGTTGCTCATAGCGTGAAGTCCATTTTCTTCATACATACATTGCCTCTTTCGTTACGTCTTCCTAAGCCATATCTCCCAATAAAATTCTCTGTTTCCTCTCCGCTTCCAATCTTTGCATTGATATCCTTCGCTACGATTTTGAAGAGGTTCCTTTTTGAAAATACAGCTTCGATTGTGGAAGCGTGCACTAGGAGCTTCAAAAGTCAGTTCAAGGAATTCTTGGTACTCAATATCCGAATAAGTAATAGTTGGTGCACATCTTTAAATAACTCGAAGATTTCTGACGTTCGCAGTGAAATCGACATAGCAGACCCTTTCCGAAATGACGTTGTAGGGACAGAACATTATCCCCTTTGCGTTGATTAGGAATCCAATCCAGTATTCAAAAAATAAACCGGGTGATTAGTTCGTNAGGACATAACATAACATAACATAAAATAACATAAAATAACATAACATAACATAACATAACATAACATAACATAACATAGCATAACATAAAATAACATAACGTAAGACCTCGTTGAATATAGGGAGGCAATCGAGTCTGTGGAGTGCGACGCTGTTTCAAATGCCTCTCTGTGAATTGATTCCGCCTAGGTTCAACGGCTCGAACACTGTTCTCAAACACATCAGCATTCATCCGACTGTGCAAACGGAAGCTAAATTTTTCCGATGGAAAAGCGATACGGTAGAGAGATATGATATCTTCAAAGCTTTGCAAGGCTGCGCTACAATGTCCGATGGGAAAAAAGTCAGTAACCTCCGCTTTGCCAATATTGATACATTGATATCTAACAGCATATCGAAATGAAAATGATGTTAAACATAGCTCAATGAGTGTACCTGCGGATAGGCTCGGCGATAAATATGTCCAAAACGCTATTGATGGTAAAGAAGTGGTCCGATACGGAACAGTAAAATTAGAGGAAAAGCTCTGCGAAGAGTTTAATCCCTTTCGTACCAGAGAAGAGCAGTGAACATTATGAGCAATATTGCTCTTGAAATGAATGGGAGATGTACATGGGCAGCTTTCGGTTCAATCCGTGAATTGACAGACCTCGTCGACCTCAAGGCATCGATATCCAGCGTCTCAGTACTGCCAGCATTGTCGTTATGGAATGAAGCTTGGCATGACAACCAAACAATCATTAAAACCCTAAACCCCTTACATCACGCAGTAAAAAAGTTTTCTGGGGATCAACCGGCGCTAGAAGTGGGAGCGAGGTGCGCGAGATTCAGACTTGAAGGGAAGACCCGCTTCAATACATGGCACATTCGAAGCATCGTTAGGGCGGTCATCTACTCCGTCGAACAGATGATTCGTAGAGGCTCCGAGTTACGGGGTGACTTACGAGAAACGAAACTACACCGTTAGAGCGACTACCGACTTGGTGGGCCTATTCGTTTCCAAATATTTCAGAGAAAGCGGTCCACACTGGTTGCAAGTCGTTAAATCTCGGGCGGTATGGAAGAGCTGTGTTCTCCGCTGAGAAGAACTCTTGCCGTGCCCCCATTTTTTTGGAGGGATAACCTTCTTGTTGTTCAATGAGAAGAACCAAATGTTCTTTAAACCATAGAGGCGTCAGCGTTAGAACCACATAAGTGGTCATAAGCAAATTCCTTCCTCCAAAAATGCACTTGAATTCGTTTCCAGTCCCAATGGTGGAATCTGAAGTACTTTTTTCGTTCGGAGTTTTTTGGTTAGTACCCACTCAGATAACTGCTGCCGTCCACCTGCGCTGTTCTCTTGTTCTGTCTAGAAAGTGCATTGACTCTTGAATCGAACCTTCGCTTCCGCCCCTGAACTGATCAATATTGTTCACTTTGGTGTTAATATACTAGTTGTTGTCAATGCCTAAAGTTGGTTGTAATGTTCCTAATTTTCTCGACTTTCCTCGCCATTAGTGGAAGAGGCTACCCAGGCACAGATGCAACAGTAGACATGGACACGGCCAACAGCCAAAGTGCTTTCCTGGCTTAGATTCCTGGCTCCCTGCGAAATGATATCGAAGATTTTAAGCAGGAATTCAGGGCATTCTGGATAAAAGGCGTTAATTCAAACTTTAATTATTCTATAAGCAAACTCACAAGAACACTTTTTCGATGGCTGAAGATTTAAGATGACGCTTGAAAAAAAAAGATGGTAAAGCATCCAATTCAAAAGGCCGAAAAAACGTGAGCAAGGAAGACCTTTGAGTTTTTAATGACGATTAGAATAACCCTGCTTACCCTACCTATCCTCACTTTGAACATGAGCAAAGGAAAAAGTAATGTTCTCCCCGTCCAATGGGCTCTGTCGATTTATGGGCCTCTTCAACACAAAAAGTAGGCCATTAGTCTGTTTTGAGCTTTTATGGTGAAGGTTTGACAATCAAGCCAAGATACACAACAAGATCAACCACTCGTTAATGAAAAAGCTCCGCAAGGGCTCTCACAGCCAACACAGTTTGCTGCTGTTACAGATATTACCATGATTGGGATTTTTACTGAAAACAAGAATCCATATAAGGAGAACCACTCACTGAGAGCTCACGCTCTTGGAATTCTTATAAAGTCTTTCAAATTTCTAGGCGGTAACCATTCTGAAGGATAGTGTCCACAGACTTCTATTCAAAATCGTGAGGGCTTGTTGAATGCGTGTGTGGCCTATACGATGCGGTGGTCAGCCGATGTACAAGTTAGTGCTTTTATCCTTTCAGTCTAGCCTGATTCCAGTTAATAGAGGGATGGAAGGGTGGTTAGCTTAGGCATATATCGAGCCGGAATTTCAACCAGTGGTTGTGCGGGTGTGATAGAGTGCGATGCAGGATGAGGATACCATCCCGCTCTCCGAATCTTGGGACCATTTTTAAACGGACGATAATGGTCGAATTGGATTGAAAAATTCCTCACAAGCCATTAGATCGCCATATTAGCAACTTTAGCATTTAATTTGCCCTAGCAACAAACGGATTTGAAAAATCTCCAGTTTGGCACATTACAACATGTATCGAAGTTTTAGTTCCCCGAACAAAACGCATATTGATCACTTAAANCTATCACCTAAAAGTTATTATTACTGAAGAGATGCTTTGGAGAGGAGATGTTTGTTACAAGAAATGAAGCTTTGCTAGAAGGTATGAAGTGTCAGCATTTGGCTGGCTTAAAACGTAAATACAGTACATCGACCGGAACGTGGCAGTGTTAAAGGTGCAATTATCGCATTCATGTTCGGAATTTGAAGAGCAAGTCAGAGCCTAATCGCGTCGATCAATCGCTTTTTCATGTAAGGTCATTTCACCGGCGTCAGGTGCACCCGTTTGGAATTGAATGCTGCCGTTGATGAGAAACGAGTGAGCCTATCCTTCCGCAAAGCAACTGAGCGACACTACGACTTTGGTTTTGTCTTTCTCATTGAGTAAAAAACCGAGAGCGAAATGCGAATGAGCAAATTTCTCGATTTTTATCTTCTATTCCTCTTCTTTCAAGATCTCGCAGTTGGCATGTAGAGAGATGTGGCAAAAGAAGTAGCTTGCAAATGAATCTGACTGTTCAGCGAAACCTGAGGGCAACCCAATTCAGTCGTCGCGGTGTTACAACGCTGCCCAGAAATGGGAAAGTCGAGAGCGTTGATTTTTTAAGTTGCCTCTTGTGGTGAAGAGTGGAGTTAGTAAACGAGTGGAGTTAGTAAAAAGAAGACAACGTGTGACTCTGGAACGGCGCTTTCCTTTGAAATTGACGGAGAAACTAGGATTTTTAAGAAAAAGAGAGAATCCAGAACCACATACCACCTCCTCTGATGAAAACGAATATCTTTCTCTTTTCTTCCGATTTCATTCAACGGAAAGTGGATAACTCGGGCTTTTTTTTGAACAGTGGACATGAAATCGTTTGAATCGAGATTGTCACTCGATGCAACAACAGAAATGCTTTAGTAGCAGAGATTGATTTGTTGTAGAGATTGATTAGATGAAACCCAAATGTGCAGACAGTTGGAAGAATTCACTCAAGCTCCTCAGAAACGTTCGAGACCCAGTTACTTGAGTTCTAATAAACTGCACAGAAATTCATGATAGGAATGAGTGTTATACCCCATTAGCAGTTGATCGCCATTGCAAAAACCCACTTGAAAGTGACATTCCGGGAAGATTTTACAGAAGCAACCATCAGCAGTGATGGAAAATCAATAAAGGTCGAAGAATCATGCTGCTTCTGCTCAGCGAGGTGCGATCATTACTCAACGACGATCAGCGCTCACCCAATAGCTCAACTCTCAACCAAGAACGAGATGGCTCAACTTCCGCGGTAATTCAATTTTGCTCCATGCTCTTTTTCGATTGAAAACTGCAATATACTCATGAGCAGGCAGACCTTATTATGAGCTACAGAAGTTCTGAGTTGTTTCACAGTTTTTGTTAGCGGAGTTTGCTTGTTCTTCTCAGTAGACTCATAGAATGGAGTCACAGGAATTTAGGATACAACATGATCATTTGGTAACATGAACCTTGTTGAGTCGATCAAGGCTGTTCCATTGCACAAAACAGTCTCAACGCATAACAAGCTTTCTATTTACGCATGATTTTGACACGTAGGTCATTTTATTCAGGCTGCTCTTCGGGAATGAAACAAAACTGTTGAACAGTGATGGAAGAGGTATATCACTTAAAAGATCCAATAACTCTATCATTTTTTCATTTTCATTTCTTCCAGTTCCTTTATTAGACTCATCTACAAAAAAACCAGTTGAGTCGATCCCAGGTCCTTGTATGGCAGCGCTCATGATCACTTCAGTATCCTGGTGGAGTGCGTGGTATAGGACAGTGGTCACAGGATCCTCTCGAACCATCGTTTCCTGGTTGCCCAGGAGCACCAGGTTCCCCATCCGCTCCATTCGATCCGTCCACACCTGGATCTCCATCCTGACCTGGCAACCCAGGTTGCCCTGGTTGCCCGGAATTGCCAGGTGTTCCACTTGGACCTGGTGGGCCAGGCGGGCCCATGGGCCCTGTTTCACCGATAGGCGACTGCAGTGTTCGTACTTGTCCTGGTTGTCCTGGTAGACCAGGAGGACCCGCTTCTCCATCTTTTCCTGGTAATCCTCTGGGACCAGGTGGTCCTTTAGGTCCTGGCATTCCTGCCATGCCAGGCTGAAATAACATTTGTTAGTCGTTAATGAGAACGAGTCTTAAAAGACATGACTCACCTCTCCAATGCCACCGGGAAGGCCGGCGGGACCCTTGAATCCTGTCATACCCGGAGGCCCTGGCGGAGCTGGCTCACATATAAAACAGAAATCGTCAGCTGTTGGGATCGCACCATTGCCTTCGGCATTTGGTCCAGGAATTCCAGGCCTGCCGGGATGACCGTCTTCTCCAGGGTCACCGTCTGCACCTGGTGGACCCGCTGGCCCCATAGGCCCTATCCCGCATGAGCAACATGAGCCGGCGGCTGACTGACGTTTAATGCGGGTAGTTTCTAGCTGCAAAAAAATGCAATATTAGTGCTGTGATTATACATACTTTGCAACACATAATTCAAAACCATTATGAGTAAATGAACAGTTTCTGCAAGTGAACGAGCTATGAACAAACCTTTTGAACTTCATTCCGCATTCCTTCGTTTTTGACTCGGCAATACTTCATCTCTTCTTGGAGGCCAGACTGAACGTTCTGCATGTGGACGCACAGCATCGGTACCGCTAGAATCGATGTTAGTGCAGCGATCGTGGACACAGTAACGCCAAAAAAGGCAAACTGCTTGAGTTGCTGTGCCTCGAGCAACTTTGTTTTGTCATCCATATCCGTTATTCACGTGGATGAGCTGAAGATGTAATTTTGGAAAAGCGGTTGCCTGGAAGGACGGAGCAGTGCACGAGGTGAGGTGGTGTCCTGCTGTAGTTTGCCAATGCGGCACTTTTATAGCAGAACGGTCTGCGAGAGACAGAACACGAATGTGGGCGTAACTTTTACCGCGATACTTTTTTCTTATAAAAAATGACACACAAGAGTCAATGAAAAGGCCGTCACGTCGATGAAAAAAGTAACGATGACTGCCGGACTTTTCAAAACCTTGGAATAGTTATCATACAGAAGTAGGAGGCTAAAAGCCGTGATGTGGTATGCGAGGGCCTTTTAAAAGAGGTTCCATGCAGTGTTCCGAAGATGGTCTCAAAGATTCTGATAGTGTTTCTGTAATGTTTTCAATATATTATAATATATTATAACACTGTAGAGGATGAAATGGGGCTTTGCTACCCTTTTAGACAAATCAGATACCAGACCCCCAACCCCGGAGGGATGGAAGGCGTTGTCGGTCTGGGCGGATATCGATCCGGAATCGTATCCGGACCTTTGGGGTGTGATAGTCCGCCACTTCCCACTAAATCACCACCGCCCCATATTACTTCTTCTTGATATGCACCCAGTATTCAACTCCAACGTAGAGCTTTTAATAATACTGTAATACTAATAAACAACTGAAAAGTATTAACCTTTTGCTACATTGAAAGGTTAAAGTCAGGGTTTACTCTGCCATGGCAAAGAAAAACGAGAAGAAGTAAACTAGTTCGTCTTGTTTTAGGAATTTGACGCGAGTTTGGTTGTGGAATGAGTAAGTACAAGTTTATTACACATGCAAAAAACATACTCCTTTAGAGAACAAGTAACAATGACTGTAAGTTGTTCGCATGGGTCACGATGGAGTTCGCTTCCTTCTTCTGGTGAATTTGTGAGCGAAACTCATCGCAAGAAATTTCTGAAGAGCACTGCTCGTAACTACCCGGCACTACAATTTCACCGCGGGTTTCGGAGCGGAGTTCTTCAGATGCAGAGAAGTGCGACCGGTGTTCAAATATGGTGACGCCCACGATTCTCATAAGAGCCACCACATTTTGAACACCTTCGATTTTCTTCCCATCATCCTGATAATAAACACATCATACATTGTAGTTTTGGTTCGTTCCTTCGTCAGAGTGACGCGGCGTTTTTTTTTTCAACTATCGGATTGGTCGACGATTGCCTTAAACGGTACTAACTAGTAGTATCTGTCGGCGATGATAAAACAATTATCAAAAACAATTACTATCGACTTTAAATAAAATTCGATACATAGCGATCATAACCTGACATCATGGAATAAACCAATTGTTTAAAGTATATGTGTTACTGGCCTTAATCAGCCCGACTACTGCGGTTGTTACTGCCCCTACTCTGCCAAACCGTATCACTACATGAAACACACATAAGTGCCAGCACTACATCGAAAGTACAATAAATGTTGGAAAATTGGTGGCTCTTGCTCTAGGGCCAATATCAACCTTTATTGGTCGCTATCAGTTTCTCTCATCAGCTCTCTACGACCCAGTCTCACCCTACATCACATACACCGAGGCATCGAGGCTCTAGATACTATTGGTACAGTAGCAGGAATTGAGCTAAAACTTTTGCATTTCAACTCACACTAACAACTCTTACCATTGATGACCACTCCTGTAACCAACCACTCACGGTCGCTGCTAATCATCCTTGACAGTTGTTATCATTTCCCGTCATCACCTTCGGTAATGCCACCCTGCCTCCAATATCCTTAAACGCTTCAGGATCAGGGCAAGGAGAGTCATTTTCGAGTACACCTTGGCTGATTCAAACCTCCTAGATAACAAAAGTCGCGTATTTTCTATGCTGGAAACTATCCGATCCAATCACTCGATAGAAGAGAATGCAAATACTTGTGAGCAAAAGTGAAGGGGGTAAGCAGGTGTGAACACCTGTCTCAACTAATTGAGGAGGAATCAAAAACTCAAAGCTGACAGATTGAGTTCCCCATTCTGAGGAGGAATACGAAAGTTAAAGACCCTGATGGATCGAGTTCTCTGATTTGAAAAAGCACTACTGAATCATAGCTGCGAGCTCCCGTGGTCTCTTTTCTCCATTAGGGACGGACACTATCAACATGAAGGTTCCCCTTCACAAAGCTTCCCCAATCAGAAAAAGCTTTAACAGAAAAGCATGCCAAGGTTTGGTGATCTACGGTAGGATTAATTCAGTGCAGCACTTTGAAATCTGTTGAAACAGTATGGCGAAAGAATATACTCAGCGGGTAGTTCAGCGGCTGACTTGAGTCGAAAGAGCGGGCTGTACATCCTTTTTTGATTGCTACTACAAAATCTGAACAATGGGGAAAGGATCGTTACCTTATGCGCCATGTTTGCCGAAATTCTTCCCACAATTAATTTTTCGGCTCGGAAACACAGAAAGTCGTGCATGATATATGTACACTCTCAGCGTGAAGTGTGCAAGTAGTGATGGTCATCATCCCATCCAATGGAATTCAATCGAAACCGAGATATGCTTCAGAACACAAATGTCTAAAATTCGCATCAAACTAGGAGCAACCTTACATGTCGTTATTATCCGTTACGATGTTCTTTCCAGAGGAAGCTGGTCTTTTCTTGTTCCCAAACAAAACCTTACTACCAGGTAGGTAATTTGGATTGGTTGCCCACATCGGAGCTGCTAAAATATTCGAGAAAAGGAGAAAAGTCTAGGGAATAAAACCTAATTTTGATGGCAGAGTTATGACTGGTGAGCAAAACACAAATTAGGACATTCTTCAGTAGTACATGCTAACACCTCTCAACGGCCTTAACCGTGACTAGCTGGTCTAGACTCCGCTCAAAACCCTCTGCAGACCACATTTATTTTCTACCGCTCCCAGTTCTTTCCCTTGCTTTTTTCACTATCGCCGTAGTCGTTAATTGCATCTAAACAGTGCCCACCCGCTCCATGAATGTTACTGGCAAACAACACGTTTGGAAAAGTTTGTCAGCAGAAATAGAGGGGATTTATTTGTAGGCAGTTGTGGAAAGGACATTTTTCTATACCTTCCCTTCGAAGCGCAATTGAATTCAGCACTTTTAGCTAGCTAGCTTTCAATCTGGAAAAGGCGGCATACGTCTTTGTTCTCATCAGGACAATTCAACGATTTCTGCCCAGGAAAACAGTAGCGAGAATCAAACTATTTAGATAATAATTGGAGCAAAAATTTCCAACTGCAACGAGGCTCAACAGAATGATGTTCTCTGGCAATTGTTAGTGGGGATAGTGATAGTGTCCAGTGTGATACATAAAATTAAAGATAAAATAAGGTGTCTTTGGAATGGAATGATTAGAATAATGTGGTAGAATACAGGCAAGCCTGAAGTACAATCAAAGGCATTCATAACTGCATTGTCCGAGAGGTTGCAACTGTTTGCAAGAAAATCTCTAAATTCTGTAAGATGCTGCCATTTCTCATGCAGGAGCTCGGAGCCCTTTCACACATTCAAGTCACCTTAAAATCAGCTTTCCCAAGTCCGCGTTCTTCTTTTTTGTTTTGATCAACTGCTCTGCATGCGACATTAGGGACCCTTACACCACATGCTCGTGTAGGTATCATAGATTTCCACAAATCCCGCGATTGAAATTTAATGACATAGCAACGTATCCGTGCTCCAAGCATTCCGCCTTGAGCTTCATGAGCATAATTTTTATTGGATGTACCCATATAACTCACGTGTGGGGGACATTTCAAAGTGATTTCTGTAAAGAATAAAATCCTAATTTTTCATCCCTAACAATGCATACGATGATGAGGAGCCCCTCAAGAGGGCTGAACTTTTTCCGATGGCAGAGCCGTTTTTGCGAAACATGAGCACAGGTTTAGTTTTTCCTCACATTTTTGCAATTTTTTCCAGACCTGATTGACTGTCAATTTCTCCCGTATCTAATCGAAATGAACTGGAAGGCGACCACATTGCGCACCCAAGAAAACCGATAAGGCCTGCTACATCAATCTCGCCTGTGTTTTATCGCGTTTGAAATTAAGAACGACCTTTAATTCACTTTTCACTGAGGGCGTTTCATCATTAGAAAACTGCGTCGGAGAGATCCGTTAATGGTTTCAACATCTATGTATGTATCCGCCAATACCGTACATATCTTCATGTGAATAATGACAACCAAGCTGACATTCATCGATCCGAAAGATGAAGCTTTCAATCACTCGATTCCACCCGAGCGGCCCCATGTTTTGGATGAGATTTTCAGGATAGTTGAAAAAACCCTCACATGGTGGTTGTAGTCAGCAGCAAAATGTATATCGGTAGTGCCGTTCAAAGAAGACGTTTCATTTTATCAAAATTTCGAATCTTCAGATGGAAAAAAAACTCAAAAACGATCTAGCGCAATACTTCTAGCCTGAATTGTAGACGTACATACATGGATAGGGACGCTTATTAAGTCGTGCAGGGGATATGAATTGGTAGATCTTGACGGTCTCGAGCCGGGAACCTTCCTCACTCATAACTTACACTTGCTGGTCTGTTATAGAATCTGGCTATTATACATGAACATTAGCCGAGGCAGAAATGTATGGTTAGTTTCCGAATAAAATAGCTTTCCTTACACTCATGCGTTTCTTCCTCGTTCGGATCTTTCGCCCACCCACAGTCATCTTATCAAGATTACGACTAAGAATTTCCAAATTGGTCGCATGCCTTCTGAGCGACTGATCGGGAGAGGCAGGAATTGAGGTTTTCGTCATAAAGGATGCTGAATTAATTCGAAACTATAGTTTTACATAAGAGTTCAGTCGAGTGCTCTACTATTAGTATGTGAAAACTGCTGAGTGTAGGTCTCATGGGAAGCAAAGACAGTAGAGTTTCGAAGTGGCATAGCAATATATCAGAAGACCACAGACTAGGTAGTCTCTAAAGCAGTGACGATTGCCCATAATGAAGAGCTTTCCATCTATGAACGTA